AAGCAAGAATTAACAAATTCACCAACAGGACTCACATTGGCAGAGCTGTTGATCCGCTTTAAGAAGTACGAAAATGCCAAAATGTCGTATTGGAGGAGCGAGGAAAGGAGACGGGTAAGGCCAAATAAACAAAATTTATAGGGCGGGGGGGGGGGGTTAAAAATGTTTTATTTGCACCTATATAAAAGCAGCCTCATTCCCAGGGGCAAATTTAACATCTCTGTTTAAATACTTTATTGGATAGTGACCAAACAGACCCAAGGCTCTTGAGGATTTTTAGAAATCAACAGTTAATATACACCCCAAGGCTCAGCTGAGGTGTATATCACACCCCAACACTGGTCAACTGCTTATAAATGTAACACCAGCTGTGAATGTTGGTTTATTTATATTTATAATTGTTTTATAAAATAACAACAACACGATAGTCTTCCGTGTTTGGATGGCCTGATCCAAACACGGCTTTCGACCAATCAGAGCACGCGTTATATACATGTTATTTTATAAATGACATTACTAGTATGTAGTATTTGTTCATGCTAAATATATTTAATTTACTCACTATAGCTTCTTGGAATAGCTGGATACGAGGCTTTACGTTATGCGTCGACAGTTGTTGTGACAGACAAAGTACTTCAGCTACTTGGGCAAAAACACAGTCATGGGTGCAATCGTATTAATTTGCACAAAGAAATAATTATTGTAGTAAGTAACATCACAAATTAAAACCTGTACGGTACTTGAATCAATTTTGCATTTAGTACTTCGAGAACATGTGTAATTTCCTATCATTTCAGTACATTTACTATACACTTTCAATATCAAAAATATATCAAACTTTGCAAAAATTAAGGGGACCAAACACAGGTGTGCAATTGTTTAATTTGCATGCATGGTTGTTTAATCTGGCTAATGCCAGATGATTTTACTGGACGATGGGAAAGCTCGATCTGCAGCTTAATGGGTTAACCAAAAAATCTGACAATGTCTCTGGTTAACCCATTGAACTGCATTGCACCCCAGTGGGTTATTTTGTTTTACTTTTCTAATGCCGCACGATTTTACTTGTCAATGGGGAGGCTCTGCAGCTTAATGAGTTAAACATTTAAACATTAATTGCACACCTGTCACCAATTAATGTTTAATTTGCATGGCTAATTTCCACGTCTTTCGAACATTTTTAGTCAATCAGCATCATGCAAGTAAATAATTATATACTAAAATTGAAATATATACCGAAATTGAAAATATGGAAAATCTTGTTGCACACTCTGACCCAGCCAGAAGTGTAGTCTGCCCTAAACAAGTGAGGAGGTCCAATCTTCAAATGCACTTATCTTTACATCTTTACAGCGAAACTTCATCAGAGAGGTCTCACTTGATGAGGCCAAAAAATTGAAGGACTTTTGGGCATCCTTCTATACCTGGAAGACCACACAGTGGCCCAATGGAATAATGCCAGAAGACTGGCACCATTTAAGAACCGAGGATGCAGCGGCATACGATGAAGAGTGACTAAAGTCTTTTTATTTATAAATAATACCTTTGTTTATACATTATAATT